ACATTTTACATTAAATGGAGAGACATCTAGAGCTGGTAATGGAGTCCAGGGTGGAGAGTGGACACCTTCTCTGCAGTTTTGATGACCAATAAGGAGAGAGGGTCTGGATGACCCTCTCTCCTTATTGGCTGTTGTGCAACCAACGTACCACACGGGGATGGCGTGCACCAGCACACTCTTGATTGTGGCACGATAGAAGGACACTAGGAGGTCAGTCTGCAGCCTGTTGCATCTCAGAACCCTCAATAAATGGAGGAGCTGCTGGGCTTTCTTCATTCAGGCTGATGTATTTGTAGTCCAGGACGGGTCCTCAGAAATGTGGGTACCGAGGAACTTGAAGGAGGACGCCCTCTCCACGTAGTCACCTTTTATGGAGAGGGGACAGGTGGTTTTCCTGTGTTTAGGGTAAGGTTATTGTGGTCACACCATTCTGTCAGACCCTGGACCTCTGTCGGTGTTGTCAACGTTGGTGATGATTCCCATCAGGGTGGTGTCATCTGCATATTTGATGATGATGTTGCAGGGTTGCGGGGGGTGCAGTTGCTGGTGTAGATGGTGTATGGGAGAGGACTCAGCACACATCCCTGTGGTGAGCCAGTGCTGAGTGACAGGGAGGACGATCTGATGACAGATTGTGATAAAGTTTTTGATCCATGCACATGTAGCGGGGGGAGGAGTCTAAGTTTACCAGCTTGGCTATAAGGATGTCTGGGATGATGGTATTGAAAGCCGAGCTGAAATCAATGAAGAGACTTCCTTACTGAAGTCCCAAGATTCTAAGCAGAGTTTAGGGCAGTGGAAACAGCATCCTCTGTGGACCTGTGAGGGCCAAAGCTGAGTGGGAGGCAGTCCTTTATGTGCTTTAGGACCAGCTTCTCAAAACACTTTGCAGCCACTGGTGTCAGTGTGATGGGTCTGTAGTCATTGAGGCCACTGATGATGGTGGACTTGGGGACTGGTACTATTGTCGCTGATTTCAGGCAGTGAGGGACAGTGGCATGTAACAGGGAGAGGCTGAATAGTCTGGTGAACACAGGAGCCAGCTGGTCAGCGCAGACGTTGAAGACACTCCCAGGTATTCCATCAGGGCCAGCGGCTTTTCTCTGATTAACTGAACACATTGTAAACCTGGTGTTCTTGGGGAGTAAATGTGTGTGGGCTGTGCTCAAAGGCGGCTATGGGCAGGGTGGTGTGCATGGTAGGGGTGTTTACAGTTCTCTCAAAGCAGGCTAAGAAGGGGTTAAGTTCCTCTGCTAATGAGATGTCTATTTTATCTGTATTTGCCCCCATTGACTTTGTAGTTTGTGATGTGTTTCAGGCACTCCCATACCTTCTTAGAGTTGTTATCTGAGAAGTGATCCGATAGTTTATTTGAATAGTCAAGTTTTGCTGCTCTGATGCCTTTTTAAAAGTCTGCTCTTTCTCTGCTCTACATATCCTGGTCCCCAGATTGGTATGCAGAGTTGCGTGCCTTTAATGATGCCTGAACCTTAATTGTCATCCAGGGTTTATGGCTGTGGTAGACCCGTACCCGCTTTTACATGGTGACAGTGTCCATGCAGTGCTTGATGTAACCTAGCACTGCAGCAGTGTGAGTCTCTAGGTCGACATGTTCGAAGACACTTCACTCTGTG